CTTATTCTGACAAAAATTTTACCGGGGAATGACAATTGATCTTGTTTTTGATTTCGCTTGTATAACATATCTTGTAAATGGGTTTTTCAGGTGTGCGCAGTGTTTTTTACCATTCCAAGATGGTATTTATTTTGAGTTTGAAGGACGAAAATATTGTGAACATGATTTCCATGTACTGTACGCTCCTTGCTGTAGTAAATGCAGTATGTTTTTAAAATTTTTAAATTTATTTTCACTAATTATTTTTGTTAATAACTCAGAAAATTTGTTCGTTTTTAATTAATTTCAGATGAGTTTATCATTGGCCGTGTTATTAAAGCAATGAACGCAAATTGGCATCCAGAATGCTTTAGATGCGAACTGTGCAACAGGGAATTAGCAGATATTGGATTTCTTCGAAATAGTGGCAGGTATTCGTTTCGGCTTTTAATACATCCATCAATTTGATGCTATTTACTGTAGAACTGTTGTTTTGAGAAACTTTTATAAGGAACTTGTTATAGTGTTATTTGAACTGTTTACACTTTTTAGGGCACTCTGCCGAGACTGTAATGAGACAGAGAAGGAAGCTGGTTCTGGACGTTACGTATGCCACACATGTAGGGCGATAATTGAAGATGGTGGCCATATAAAGTACAAAGGCGATAGTTTCCATCCGTATCATTTTAAATGCAGAAGATGCGGGTTAGTTGTCTCAATACTTTTTATTCTCTGCGTTTCATAGAATTTTTTGAACAGCTTTTTTCTGTTCAGTGGTATTATACAGTGCATTTTAACTTTTTGTTTTTTCATCAACGGAGTTAAACTTTTAACAGTGATCTTTTTTACGTATGAATGGCTAAATTAAGCATAGTTACGGGATAAAGTTAGTTCTTCAAAGATGAGAATTTGAAGGTTGGAGTGGGAATTGACAGGTGTTGGTATCAAAAATCGACTAACCAACTTTGTTGGGTTTTGATTCTTTCTGAGATTGCTGGTACAAATTTTGACGTTCAAAGTTTAATACTCAGCAAAGCGGCTCAGTGAAATGTTGTAAAGTGCTTTGGACGGATGAGGAAGAAGGTGGGCATCCTATAATTGCAGAAAATCGTTACCGCTTCTCTGATTTAATGATAAAGTTTGCAGTAAAAAAATGTTTTTTTTTTTCTGACCAATCTTATCAAGGGCTTCTTAGACTTCGTGTTTTTTTTTCTCTTTTGTTTTACTGTTCTTGTGCTACGGTGTTTTCTTTGGTCTTAAAAATAAAATTCATATGTATGACAGTTTGTCTAAATTACTAATTATTGATAATCCTAATACTTAGATGATATATTTGCTTTGCGGGCTATACTGAGAACTCAGCAATATCTGTCTCTTTAGTTCAATCTTTTTAAGCCTAATGCATCTTCTTTTTCTCAGCATAGGTTATAAAGAAACTAGTTTTGATTTATATCGGATACTTTATGTAACTGTGTTTTGAAATTTTTCAGCAGCGTAACTTCAATTGCTACCTGTTTTATACATACATCTTTGAACGTTCTGTGGCTTTTGTGGTTGCATTTTAAATTGTGGTTATATTCTGTGGTTAAATTTTAAAAAGTAGTATCCTTATATTTTCCTGTTTCTATTACTTGAAATATCTTTTGCTGCTGTTGGCCGTCCGGCTTTCACTGAATTTTTGTTTTCTTTGTAAAAAGTCGTTCACAATCTGCTTGTTTTGTGTTTTTAAATCATTTTTTACTTTTGTATTTATCCAATAGTGCAACCAACTGAATAATTGTAGTATATATCTTTTTTTTAAAATTAGTAGAAGTTGTGGTTGCATCGAAAGAACACTTTCTATAAATTGTGTAAGGGCAGCCTTCTAACAACTTTAAAACACGCAGAAGCAGATCAGAGCGAATAAGACGATTCATAAAAAATACTTGTCATTAGCTTTTTACCTTACACTCTGTTTAACCACAGTCATATTAAATCTGAAACCTTAACCCGTTCGAGGTGTTGGAGGCAATGCGATAAGCCATTAGACCAAGAGCACAAAAAAATAGTGAAATAAACTATGGTAAATCATAATTAGTCTTTTACACTGTAAATAATGTTAACTGTTTTGTTTTTACAGCAATGAACTTGACACTGATGCCCGTGAAATCGGTGGCGAATTATACTGTCTTCGGTGCCATGACACTATGGGAATTCCAATTTGCGGGGCTTGTCATCGTCCGATTGAGGAACGAGTTGTTACCGCTTTGGGAAGGAATTGGCATGTTGAGGTTAGCTGGAACTCTCTTTAAATTCTTTTCAGATTGGTAGTATGAATTTGTAAAAGTAGAACTGCAAAAGAACTTTAACTTGGGATATAGAACCGTTTTTTTTTAATTGTAGCGAGAGACTATCTTATTCATATTAATCAGGCCTCGCTTGCTCGCATCTTTGGACAGTTGAAGTTTTATTTTGTATTGTATGGTCGATTTTCAGCACTTTGTGTGCGCCGTTTGTGAAAAACCATTTTTGGGACATCGGCATTACGAGAAGAAGGGTCTTCCATATTGCGAAACCCATTACCACAAGGTTGTTTATTGGACTGTTAATATTCATTTATTTTACTCGTTATTTGTTTGCTTATTTTAGAAAATCTCTTCCTCTCCCGAACAGCGAAACAGTTTTTTGTTTAAAAATTTATAAAGCACATCACTTTTAAAGAGTATCAAAGGTTGTTTCACTATGATCATTGTCTTTCACGCATTTAGCTCTTCGGTAACGTATGCTTCAAATGTGGTAACGTGTGCAGCGGCGAGGTGTTTCAAGCACTTCATAAGTCTTGGTGCATTAAGTGTTTTGCTTGCAGTTTATGCGACAAAAAAATGGACCATAAGTGTGTTTTATGAGCAGTTTTTAAATCTTTTCTCACAAATATATGAAATTTCTAGACATAACTTCTCATTGAGTTTCCAAATTGATGTTGGATTTTTTTGGCGTTTACCACTTTTAATCGCTACAAACAGATACTTCGAAGTAGTATGTAGCGTTAAAAAATTTCAGCACTTGGTTGTTTATCAATTTAGAAAGCCATGTATTGCCATTTCCAGCTTTCTGAACTAGCTTTTTTAGAACAAAATTTTACGAATTTGATATGAAACCAACGTGTAAGCGATGCTATGACAGATTCCCGACAGAGTTGAAGAAGAGAATCAGTGATAGTCTGAAAGACAGAGATTTAGAAATGGAAAGGAATCGGACGTTACAGAGTCGTTCGCTAAGTCCTTCGAAAGGTGGAACTTTGAAGAAATAACAAGATACACAACTTTTACGGATTCAAATCAGATAGCGTTTTTTTGATTCTTCTGTTGAGGATTTATAAAAAGATTTCTATCATTTTTTCCTTTCTTTTTCATTTGCCAACGCTGCTAAAAGCTTGTTTTTCTTTCTTCATTGCTCATTCTGTTTCCTTCGTCTTTTTTTGTTTTTTGATTTCTTTTTTTTAATTACGAAAAAGAGTTTGGAAATTTAATTTTAGAAATATTCAGTTTGCCATCAAAGAAAAATTTGTTTTTTCTTCTATACCCGCTACTCTGTAAATTATGTTACATTGTGAGTACGATTGTCTCTTGTTCTATTCTTTGTTCTTTTTTTCGTTTCCTTTCCAACCATTTAGAGATCTGAAATTTGATGTTCAAGCATAAGAACAATTCTACCTAAAAAGTGTACTTATAGTATTATTTTTCGTCTTCAAAGATTATACGTTCCATCAGTTATGTACTTTTTTCTGTTTTAGAGTTGTCATTGTTTAATGTTTATTGGTTGTATTTCTTGTTTTTCATCAGGTGGATAATTCAACAGATTACGATACAAAAGTTCAAATTTATTAATAAAAAACTGATATACATATATGCACATGAAATGAGAAACAGCAAGAATCGTAATTGGGTTTTTACCATTTCTTGGGACTAAATGCTGCATCGTGTTTGTTGATTTTTCCACTCTGAATGGAGCTGTTGAATTACAAATAAGTTTTATTTGAAGGAAATCACGGATTTTTCGTGTTGATTTTTGATGCAAATTTTTTTTTTTAATGTGAGGAAAACAGTCGTCTAGACCGGTCGAATATTTCTTCTGGTCACCATTAGCTCTTCCTTTGCGATTCTGCTATTACCCAGATAGGAGTGGAACACCATTGTTACGGATGGTGGTAACTCGATGTTTTGATACATGTGTACACTGTGCCTAATAACTTGTGTTTTTGCATGTACAGATTTAAGTGAGTCAGGTAGTCAGTTTTTTAGTTCTTTGACAGTACAAGACGTAATTATTTGGTCAAATAGATTAGGTGAATACGAACGCTGTTTATTTGTTTGTGTAGGGTGGAAAGTTTTGTCGACTGTCATTACAGAGTCAACATTGATTACAGCTTGATTCCCTGATTTGCCAATTTTTCATAGTACTTACCCTTAACTACATAGCAGTACGACAATGAAACACGGAATTTCAATCGGGATTTCATATCGCATTAACAGGTAATCTTCTAAGATTATCCTCTGATATGAGTTTGCTCTGGAGTCTCCGGTCATCATTTTTTTTCTTTGTGCTTTAGTTGTACAGGATTACTAGTCGGCAGCTGGTTTCTATTTGAACAAAAAAGATTCTCATTTTAGATGATCGACGGGAAAGTACTTTATAACAAACGAAGAAAGTTTTCTAAAATTTTTAGCAAAACTTTTTAGTACTGAAAACAAATCTGGAAAGGCACATACAAAAATTGATACTGATGTTTAAGTTAAAGAGAAACATGTTTGAAATCCAGAACTTCTTAGCTGAGTAATTAAAAGATGTGCGAAGTGGGCAATAATAAATCATATCAGTTTAAAAAAAAAAAATAAAAAAACCACCTATGAAATGAGGTCGAAAAATAGTTCGGTTTTCATAGTTCTTGCATTCTCGAATAAATATTTCAACCTAACAAAAAAAAAAATATTTTTTTTTAAATTTACATAAATTTTACCACTTAAAACAGCATTCACTCTAAAAAAGAAAGGTTATTCCTTGCCAACTAATATACATCATATAAAATGAAACTTTTTTGGTGCAGTTTTAAGCGAGATGATAGTCTCTTGTATTTAATTATTAAATAATCTGTTGGCAACCCAGTGGTTACCAATTGGCACTGAATAGATTTTTTGTCATTCTTCCAGAGGTCGGTTGAATTTGGAGAACGAATACTGCAGTATAAAATGGAAAATGTTTTGACGAAGAAAAAAAGAAGAAAAAAACAGGCTCATTGAGAGTGAAATCAGTAATTTAATACAGCCATTTTGGATTGCAAATGGAAGAGAAGATGAAAAGAAATTTATATTGACAGTTTTTTTATTCTGTCGGAAGTGAAGTATATTCAATTTAAAGCGTTGCTCAGCATTATGTGGACGTACACTGTGACGGACATTTACGCCGTTTTTTCTTTTTCTTTTTTTTTCTTTTGTTAAATTACCACTGAATTTTTGCTGCGGCAGTTCAGTGATACATATTTTACAGTATACTTACCATTTTGCTATTGAACAATTTGAAGAGTGAATGTTTCAGAAGAGATTGGTTTAGCAGCAGGAGCACTTTTTTTTTGTGAATAGTTATCCAATTGTTTCACTTGTATATAACTTGATACTTGTTTTACGATAGCATTCTTATCTCTGGACGTTATATCTGACACTGTGTAACAGTAGTTTTCCTCTCTCGACAGTCCAACAACAAACGACTTTGCAGTAACAGTGGTTATTAGAGTTGTACGAGGTTCAACGGGATGTAGAGGATACCTGATATAGTCTATAACCAGTAAACTATTGGTGACTGTTGACCAGCAAAAGAGGTGGGTACACTGTTATGGAAGAAAGCCCTTAATATCAAACCACGCCCACAGCTCCCTCTTCTCCTGCCTTAGTATGTGTACCTTTTTTTTGAATTTGGAGTGTATGCCTGTGTCTGTGGCGGTGGTGGTATATTTTTGTTCTGTATATATACGTGTTGGAAGCAGTAGGTTGTTTTTGTGATTTGAAAATTCAATTTACACACAAATACATACAAACACACACACACACACACACAAAAAAAAAA